GGAAGAGAAAGGTAGAAGGAATCAGAAGCCGTGGATTTAATTGATGAAAATGGGACGGGTGTTAGGAAAAGTTAGGTGTGCGGGAACTTCATTTTGTGGAATTGTAGTGCTATTAAGAAGTGGGTTTATGCTTAACCAAATTATTATTAATAAGGTCAAGAGCCAAAGAAAGAGGTTGTCATCTTGAAAACATTCCCAGTGACCAATATTAGATCTTGTTTAATTACATACATCTCTGCACTGTTAGTAAGAAAAAGAATTGAAGTCATTGATTAAATATCTCATCATTGTAGATAGATTGAGGCATTAGAGCCACCAGGTATTCCAGTGTTTCACAAAAATATGAAGATACAACTTTGATAATTATGAAACTTTCTAGGAATTTCAGAATAGAATAACCAAAGCCATTATTCTTCTTCAGCTCTTCTATGAACTTTCTAAAGCACGTCTCATATTCTATAATATGTAACTCGTCATTTCAGATTGAGTTGTTTTGTACTATTCTCTGGACACTATAATCATTGGGCTTGCTATTGCTTGCTTCCTTCACCCTCACTCCCCTCTTCTTTTTTCATATTACTTTTTTCTCTTTGGTACTCATTATTCAAATTGAGTAATTTTCAGCTACAAACATTTATGAGAACAAACAAATATTTTGGGAAATCAAATGAGTACTTCTTCATTAAATGAGTACATATACTTCACACTTGAATTAAATGATTACTTCAGCGAAATCATTTAAACTAACTTTTAAACTTAGAGTGAATATACCAAACATCGAATGTAGTAGAAAAACTACCAAACATGTCACCATATATAACGTAGTGTTATATTTAAATTGGTTCATGATATGGAAAACTGAAATTAAAATTATGTTATATTTATATTTGTTCAGGGATCTCGGAAGAGGGAAGAGGATGAATGATTTTTTTCTTGTGCATTTATATAGTTGGAATTGAAGTAAAGATGAAAACTTTGTAAAAATGCATTGCATGTTGCTCAAAATAATCACATAGTTATTTTTAGTCTAAAACTAACAAATAGAGATAATAAAAATCAATCCTTCCGATCTGCTTCTCTCTGAAATCCCCTAACCAAATAAGTCCTCAGGACAGTTCTTTCTCGAGACTGCAATTTTACCTTTCTCATGGATCTCTTTGTATCTTTGCATAGTATATTAGCACATATGATGTCCATCTATTTTAATTAAACATGTTATTGATGGTCTTAATTCTTATTTTTCTCTAAGTCACTTGAGAGATGTGAATATGCAGGATTAGTTTGAGTTGTGTATGGATTTAAACCACACCTCATCGCAATGTATGCTGGAGAGTTCAGTCTTATTACTTAAGTTTTTACCCCTACACCATATCTCCCATTTTTGTCAGTAATTCAAAAATTAGAAACAAATCGATAACCGCTTTAAGTTGACAAAAATTCAAGCTAATTGAAAGTTGACCCTTCTATTGAATTAGAATAAATAAGAAACATACCAAATCACATATTACACACACACAAGTGGAAATATACTTGTCGGCTTAAAATGTTTAATCATTTGGGTCTTTTAAAATCATATTGAAGTTGTAGTCACAAAGAATCTACCGTTCTTGAAATCATTAATGTGTTTAGCAAAAAGTGAATGAAATTCCGACAATTAGACAACTATAGAACCCAATTTTGATGTAAGAAATCCCTCGGTCAGTTCTTGAAAATCCTAAAACGTGAAATCAGAAAGAACATTAAATTAAATACCTGAGATGCTAATTTACTCCATAATCACGACGAAACTGGTAGCGACGTAGAAGTGAAATTGTTGAAGGAGATATTTTTGAGCATTTGAACTTTGATGGTTTCCTATGAGCGAGAGGTGAGGAGGGGAAGAGACTGAAATGGATTGAGGCTTGAGGAATAAACATTTTCTGATGAAATAGTCTGAGATGAGCCGCACATCTATTAAGCTGATCGTGCGGCTGAAACGGGTTGAGAGCTTGAGTAGAAAAATGCTCCTCTTTCAAAGTAATGCAATTATGTAAGATGATTGCTTATAATTCAACCGTTGGGAAAATGGAAAAAGATTCTTCTTGAACAAAGTTTAAAGGTGAAATGTGTGATAAGTAAGTTTATCTAATTTCATAAGAGATAATCAAAAGAATGAAGAGAAACGTGGAAAGGTGAAAATAGTTTCTCCCTCCTACCATGCATTTGTAAAGACCCCATAAAGACAATTGTTTACCAACCAACAAATGCAATCAAGAATAATGCCTTACTGGAGTAGCGGTAAAGCCTAGAAAACTAAATCTAATTGGCAAACCTGATTTGGAGTAGTAAAGATTAAAAATTGGAGCTAATCATTCGGGAATGAGGTGATGGCAGATATGTGAGGCAAGTAAAAGACCATTTTAGTAATACTTCAAGATTTTAAAGCAAAATTTACGAGGATGTTTTTTCTAAAAAAATGCAGCGTGTAACTAATTAAATACCAACCGGCAAAATATTTAATTAAAAAATATTTACAAATTCTTATGAACATCTTGTTTCTTCTTTGGGAATAACCCAAAATGTCATAGCCATCTCTGTGTAAACCTAGCAAATAAGAAATCAGTTAAAAAACAAAGATGGATTGTATGATTTAGAAGAAGAATTTACCTTGAAATCAGTTTGAATAGGCTGAATTTCGGGCAAGATGATTTCCCAAACCGAAATAGAAGATTTGCTTTTTCAGAAAAGATGGATGAACCTATCGAGTGGGTGAAGAATGATTCTGAACGAAGAAATACCCATCCCATTTTAGGATGATTTCCGGACAGATGATTTCCAGGCAGATGGAGGTTGTAGCTAGATTTCTCAAGAATTTTAACGAAGCTTCATGCGGGGAAGAAGAAATAAGAAAAAGAAACGGAAGAGAAAGGTAGAAGGAATCAGAAGCCGTGGATTTAATTGATGAGAATCGGATGGGTGTTAGGAAAAGTTGGGTGAGCGGGAACTTCATTTTGTGGAATTGTAGTGCTATTAAGGAGAAGATGAAGGAGAGGATTTTAGTGCTATTAAGGAGAGGATTGTAGTGCTATGAAGGAGATGATTGTAATGCTATTAAGGAGAGGATTAAGGAGATGATTATTTGTTGAAGTCCGGAACACTTAATGTTAATAAAAAAGAGTTTAAATGCCTTAACCTCCACTTTTATAAAGAGAAGAATGTGTCATGTATGAAAGGATCACTGCCCCACTCCTTACCCTAGAAAGATCTAGTATATGACATCTCTTAATGGTTTCTAAGAGCATGATTGTATGCGTAAGGTGGTGAAGTCGATAACGAAATGGGTTGACTAATTAGATTAACTTGAAAAGTGTCATGATATTCACTCATTTGAATATTCATGTAAAAAGTAATGTGTAATTGTGTATTTATTTTATTTTATTTTTATTTTTCTAGAGTGAAGATCCTAATTTGATAAAACAAATATTATGTTGAACTAGGCTCTACATTTAGATTTGGTGGCGGTGGTATGTAGTGGCAATGACACCGGTTTTTTGTGGTGGATCCCGATGTCTTTTCATGAAATATTGTCATTATATTTTCAACGATCATACTCTCAAAAATTTTAGGCAATAGTGACTGGAAACGATATTCTAATTGTGAAAGGCAATTGTTCAATGTAAAACAGTCATAAACCAAATATATTTATGGTATTTGAAGAATGAGCTAATGATAATTTGGTCAACCAAATATATTTATGCCTCATCAATCTTCATAACCCTATTTAAGGAACACAATCTCCATATACCCTTTTTGATATAACTTATCTTCATAAACAAAATCAAGATGGTCGCTCATTAGTTTATACGGAGTAAAACTTTTACACATATGAAGTACTAGCAAGCGCTGGTGAGGAGACCTAATAATGACACCCTCACTCTTATTGTCATAATTTATGCATAGTGCACTCATAGAGTAGAATGTATATTGTTATTTGCTCCTCATTTATATATGTAGTACGGAGTATAATATAACAGGCGGGATGTAAGACACTAAAATTATACTACCTCCGATCCTTAATTAACTTTACACTTTCCTTTTTAGGTCGTTCCATATTAAACTTTACACTTCCTTATTTACCTTATTTGGCAAACAAATATACACCAAACAGTGCAAAACAGTGCTAAACAGTGTCAAATAATGTGAAACAGTGTACTCTACGGTAAAGTCAAATTTATTTGCTTAACATTGTGTGAAATAAAAGTGTAAAAGTTTAATAAGGATCAGAGGGAGTATTAATTTATACGGAGTAATTTTATACATTATTGGATCAGTTAGTGATACTTAAAAGTTTACTTCTATTTTCATAATTTAAATATTGTTGGGTGAATATATATAAAAAACTAAAAGGAGTGATATAATTGAAGCAGAAAATAATTTGGTCAGTTATTTATAAAAACATGTACCACAAACCCACAATTTACATGCTGATATGTAATGGAGAAAAGATTTAAGGAGTGTTTGTGAAAAATTAAAAAATCATTTTTCAGCTTTTGACTTTAAAAAACTGAAATTTGTATTTTTACGTAAAAGTTGGAAGGAGGTTGTAGAATGTTTTAAATTGCTTTTCACTTTTTCTATTACACAAACACTTATTTTATCAAGCACTACAAACTTTTTCTTTTTGAGAATCACTTATTTCTCAAACATTATCAACTTTTACTATCAAACATTTTTTATAAAATCACTTTAAAAACTCATTTTTTAAAGTAGAAGAAATAACAAATACTCCCTTAATCGTTAGTCTCGAGAGACATAAAATGTAAAGTACAATTTTATCATTAAAAATGTTGGTTCAAAATATATGTCTCACGATCAAAGAAGGCGAAAAGATACTCTAGTAAGTACACGACACTAGTAAAGTATAATAAACAAATGATTTTTTTTATAAACAAATGATTTAAAGTACATATATTGGTAATATTACTTTTAGTCATTATTATTAGCGGTATGATAGTATGATATGATATTTAATTATTGTAACGTAACAGCTAATAAACCGATTAATTTAACCCCCAGCCCAGACACTCCCTATATAAAGCCGTGGACACCCATCCTTTCTCCTCCCCCAAATTTTCATATCACTCCTGCTCTTCAACCAGATCAATAGCCGCCTTCTTGATTCCTCTTCCCTAGCTGAAATCCGGCTTTCTTTTAATCTTCTTTTGCTTCTACAAACAAGAAGGAATGGAGTCCGGAGGAGAAACTCATCAATACTACTCTGGGTTTGAAGAAAATCAGCCATACCAAAACTCCCATTTTCTTGATGCTTGCTTTCTTTGTCAGCGCCCTTTAGGCCGTAACAGTGACATCTTCATGTACAGGTTAGTTATTTAGCTACCCATTCCCTCTCTAATCAGTGCTGGAAGTTTTTATAATGCTAATTTGGGAAGATTCTAAATAAATTGAGGCAAAAATTACAGGGGGAATACACCATTTTGCAGCCAAGAATGCAGGCAAGAACAGATAGAGATGGACGAAGCCAAGGAAAAAAGAAGGAAGCTTTCCTCTTCCAAGAGGCTGTCAAGCACGCAGCTGAGACAGTCAACAAAGCAAGAAGGGAAGACGACCGAGAACAAGAAGGCTGTAAGAACAGCAGGCACTGTGGCTGTGGCTTGATTCACTGCTTTGTCCGCCATGGCAGCGCAACAGAGGGTAGCTGCAAAGCTCCCTCGGCTTCATCTACTACGGACTCATATATATGTGTGTTATATGCTGAAGTGGGTTTAATCAATTAATTAATCGATCAATTAATTAAATTCATAATAATTAAGGGCTTGCATAAGACACCAGCTCTGGCTAGAGCTCGGGTATGGATGATACAGTATCTGTAAAACCAATGATACTGTTGATGAACATGAGATGAATTTTGCTTCCTTTCCTCTTCTCGATCTATCTCCTTCACACACTCACTGTCAGATCTATATATGTAATTATGTATGTATATATATGGCAATGGCACCCATGAAATTGGATGCTTTGGAATGCGTTAATGATAATTATTGGAAGAGATTTTCTATTCTCAAACTGGATTTCATCCGTTACTTTAATGATTGGATTGTCATTGGTAAATGTCATAATTTAACTTCACACTTTATTATGAACATGATAGAACAAATACAGTTAAATAAAGTGATGTGATTATATAAATGAATGGGGTAATTAATGATAATGATATTTCTATGGGTGTGTTATTTAAGCTGACAAGGAATGAAGGGTAGTTAATTAATTAACTAACGTAGCTGACAATGAGAGAGGGGTTATGTAAATTAAATATTAGTAGCTGAGTCACTCCTGACTCATCATTTGATTTAGACTGCTTATAATATAATGTAGAGAGCAGTTTTTCCTTGAGCCTTGGAAGACTTGTTTTGTAATAGAAAAAGCCATCTGCAAACAAGAAGGCAGGTGGAGACAATTCAACAAGGGACATGAAACTGAATCATTTTCAAGCTTTGCAAAGATGAACCAACTAATTAATAAGCTCAAGGGACATGTAGCACTCAGATTAAAATAAAATAGTGACCATTTCAACTTGCTGGGAGTTGTCTCACAGTTGTGATTGATGGCCTCAGAATCAATATAAACAAACAAACCAGGAAATGACTCATTCAGAAGTCAGCAAAAGCCATTTCTTACTTAATTCCAATCCATTTGTCTTGCATACAGACCCCATCGAAGTAAGTGTAGGGTGGCCCCTTCAATAAAACTTGTGGCCATAAAACCTTTCAATCTGTCCACTCTCAGGCTCTTCTTATACGCCATTCATAATTTAGGATGAAAAATTCCAACCAAAATGCAGTTGGTTAATTCACTAAAAAATATCCATTAATAGAGATTGGTCCCACAATTATTAGGTCTAAACCCATTATTTAGGATGAACTTCAAATTAGGCCTGTGCCCAACTTCTATTTTATCTCTTTTAACTCACGATTATGTGCTCTTTTGTTTTCTTTTATGTGGCTGGGCCACTTATCCGTCAAAAATCAATCGACAACTGTCATTTGAGTTTCAATAAAGCAACTCCCCACTTATTTAGTGGCGCCAATAATCGTGGTACCAAGATTGGACACTTTTCATTAGAGTGTATAAGACAGACAATTACTCATGGCTTATGCATGAAGCGTCAATCAAGATGTCATTACGGTAATTCAAGAGATAAAAGAAAAATCTTTTTGGCAATAAGAAATGATCAACTCTTCAACATAAACCAAGCTTCTTCTTTTTTTGAGTTTACATACATGAGGTGAAAATTGCATATTTCCATATTGTGTATTACCATTACCCTAAGCCCATATTTCTATACAAGTTTGGAACATTGTATAATATTCCCTATACTATTTTCTATTAAGTTCATGTAGTGAATATCTAAAAGAAAAACAAAGACTTTTTCAAGTGACTTTTGCCCTATGCATGATCATAAGCCCCTTTTTGCTCATCCCGCCAACACGTTCACTTAGTTTAGCCAAATGGGCCATCCGCCTTTTTTCGGACTCTACAGGCCCAATCTGTTCTGGCATTGGCTCATCGTCGACTGGATCTTCTGAATCACAATCATAATCACTGCTTTGGAGGAGGATATGATTCATAGCTTCCACTACTCTGCTCATCATCGGGCGTTCCTTTGGTCTCTTTGACAAACAACTACAGGCCAACTTTGCAATCTTTCTAGCTGCACTTAGTGAATATTGGCTTTCCAGTCTTGGATCCATTATCGAGCTGAACTTGCCGCTATCTGCAGGGTATTGCTTAACCCAATCTAAAAGGTTCTGTTCTGAAATGGGTCTATTTCTTTCTATTGATCTTCTACCAGTTAGGATCTCGTATAGTACGACCCCGAAACTCCACACGTCACTCTTAGCCGTGAGATGGCCAGTTTCAATGTAATCTGGTGCTGCATAACCATATGTGCCAACAGCCTACACACAAAAGGCATTCCTTTGGGAAATCAATGACACTGCACTGTCATCATTCAAGTGGGTAACGGTAACATGCATAAAAATGTTAAGAGCCCCACATCAAAAAAAATCATGAAATTCAGAACATCTTTTATGATAGTCTCAAGTCTTAATGCAGTATCATAGTAATTCTAATCCGTACCCATGATATGAACCTCCTTTTAAATAAATGGTTGAAAGATGGTGTTGAAATGTTAGGGTATGTGCCATTATTACTACAATAACATCCAAACCTTAGTCTTAAAAGAGTTTGGGGAGTGTGTGACATTATTAAACAAGAAAAATTGCATGGTTCAAACGAAGTATCTGACAGAGAAAATATGTAAGAAAAATGTCATGTCTTTACTAAATACTCCATATAAAATAAAAAACTAACATATCAGATCTTCAACTACTCCTATCACTTAACAATTCAAAAAGAACCTCAAGACTTGAATAATACTCCGTATTAAATAAAGACATAAATACGTTTATAAGGACATTGTGATTGGATTCAATTAGTGTCGTTTGACATATGTGCATTATTGACCTATTGAGCATCATTTCCAATTTTTAACAGTTTTTTTAAATACCCCATCCTCGCGTCATGCTTAACTTCAGCTCCTACTCCCGCCAACACGCCTAGGTTATTTTGACCTAATTTAACTTATGTCTCATTTAACCCTGACTAGGTACTAGGTAGGACCCAGTCTGCTGATTTGGGTGCTTATTGCTTTTAACAATGTTGTTTTTTTACCTGTCAAATTGAGAAGTCCTAAAGCTAAAAAAGAAAGCTTACAATATCTGAATATCACAAATAGCCCTTTCGGTGAGGGTTATTTTGATGAAATCATTGAATCTGTTGAGTTTTCTTAAGGAAAAGTGTTTGCTAAAACTCATTTCAATCAAATAAGCAAGTCAAAAGCTAGTTTATGTGACAAATTTGCTTATCCTGCCGATAAGTGGAATAAGCTACTTTTGCATTTTTGGCTACCAAATGGAGCCTACAATAGATGTTGAGAACAGTTTTTTTACTATTGGTTCTTGATTTTTCCTCTTTTTAGCCGTTTCACAATAAATTCCTTATACTGATTCTTTGAACACTAGTCCTATGTTGAAAAGCACTTGCTATAAGAAGCTAAGAATGAGCAAATGGAAGCATAGATGAAGGAAACCTACCGCTGTCGATACATGAGTGTGAAGCCCCGTGGGGCCCTCCCTGGCAAGACCAAAATCTGAGAGCTTTGGCTTGAAATCATTATCTAATAACACATTTGAAGCTTTAAAATCTCGATATATAACCTGTAACATTAAAAATAACATTAGCTTCAAACTACTTATGCTGGCAATGAAACAACAGGCTGTGAACAATGGTTTCTGCTAGTATCTATGCAAAAAATGTGCTTTTTCTTTTATAATATTAGGCATCCAGATCCTGAATTAAGGAACGTAGACAAAAAATATGGAGAAATTTGTTCCATCAGTTATTCTCGATTCAACCCTTGATTATCTTAAAGTTGTGTATTCAGTCCCTCATGCCTTAATGACATCATTATTGTGCTTCTATGGAATTGCATAAGATGCACAAGTTGAATAGTAACTTCATAATCACGTTGTGGCTTGAGAGGAACTAAATTGCCATTTTTAAAATGACCAACGGACTGGATTTGATAAAATTGACAACGCCGGACTACATTGCATAATCGAGAACAACCAAGGGACTACATTGCATGCTCGAGAACAATTAAGGGAGCAAAATAGCAAATTTGCCAAAAACATGCAAAGGATAAATGAATAGAGTAATAGACAAAAGAAAACGGCATATATATACAATGTTCTAATTTAGATAAAGGTAGTTCTCATCATTAAAGTGGGAAAGAGATGCCTTATTCCCTCATATAGAAAAATTGAAGAAAGACGTAGATATAACAAAACCTGAACTTCCAACTGTTCGTGCAAATAAGCTAATCCTTGAGCTGCTCCAAGCACTATTTGCAGTCTTCTATCCCAAGTAAGGGTGGGATAAGCGTTATTGAAAAGATGGTGTTCAAGACTTCTGTTCGGCATATATTCATAGACGAGTAGCCTCTGGATTCCCCTTTCGCCATCAACAGCACAATACCCAATCAGCTTCACAAGATTTGGGTGGGCCACTACCCCAAGAAATTGTACTTCTGCCACCCATTGTTTATGACCCTGTGTGCAAATATAAAGAATACCCAAGCTATATGGTCATGATCCTTGGATGTTTACCAAACCATTTTTTAAACAGCCTCTCTTTTACAAATACACTAGCAAAGAGAATAGAGAGGAAAAGAAATTTGAGGGAAAATAATGGAAAGACTCCAGCTCCATAAATTCATTAGATATTTGTCGAACTGTTACATGATTTATCTAAGAATCTAAAAGTTTGATTTTTTTTACACAAAACGAATTATATTTCATTTTTCTTTTCAATTTCCAAGAATATAAGGCAAACATAAGAAAATGACTTCCCCTAGCATTTTCTCTAATTTACATAGCAGTTGCCCTGATCCCAACATAACCTTAAACTTTTCAGTGGACCACATTACTAGGAACTTAACTAAATGGAGAGTAAAACACTAAATTAATGTCTTAAATATAAATATTCATAACTATAGAATGTAAAACAGCACTGAACCAAGGTGAATAATGACATGCATGTAAATATACATCAGGCAAGCATTATATCATCCAAAAACATAAGTACTGGTCCCAAACAGTACAACAACAACAACAACAACGAATGGTCAATCGGTCATAAATATAAGGCTGAAATGTAGCATACCTGATGACCACCAACATTGAGCTTCTTAATAGCAACCACAATGGGTTCACCCTTTTCATCAACAGCCATAATTCTTCCCTTATAAACACTCCCGAACCCACCTTCACCTATCTTTAATAGCCTATTGAAATTATCAGTTGCTTGTCTAAGCTCTCTGAAAGAAAACACCCTCAAATTCTGTGCTTTTCCTCTATAAGCTTCTGAAAAACTACGGGGAGAAGAGGCTGCAGAGAAAGACCGTGTGGGCCTGGGAACACCTGACTTACCCTCCTCATTCAGCACTGGCTCAGATCTTTGCCCCCTACATTTTCTCTTATCCTTGAAGTAAAACAAACAATTCATTTTTACCTTTTACTCCCAGTCCTTGCCTTATTCTCTCCAATTCAACAAAAAGGCTATCAAGATTCAATTGTTATCTCTGGAAAGTGGGTTTTCACCTGACCCAAAACAAATAATACGGAGTAATAAAGAAGCATGAGAATTCAGAAAGAAACTCTAGCACTTCAGGATTCAGTCGTGAAGAAAGAAATTTAAATAAATAACAAAACAAAAATTGGGATTAAGGCTTAGATGTTGTTGTTGTTGAACAAAACAAAAATCAGCAATTATCTTAACTGTAAAATTGGCTGCAGAACATATACGTAGTATTATATCATTTGAGATTTTGAGAGTTCTGATTGATAAATAATGGGAACAAAATGGAGATTCTAGTCAATCAGAACAAAAAGCTTCAATATTACCGAGTAGAATATCAAGAAAGATCGAGACATGTAGATTTATGTAATCAATATCTCGAAAAGTTTTTACTTTTTACTTTAAATAAACGGTGTACTGCTCAACATCTTGGACTTCTTGAAACACACCCAATCTTCAATGCAGTGGACAAATTGAGATGAATTCAAATATATATATTCTAATATTCTTGTAAACAAAGCGTGTTACGTGCATACATACATACGCATGCGTAGGAATCCACCGAGCTTTCTTCATAAATCCTGGAAAATGAATATTTCTGAAACTTGTTTGATTTGGGCATTTGGCAATGAGATTGACTACTTCTCTCTTGGGTGCTTCTCAGTGAAGGTGACCGAAAGTTTCAATATGGCTTCTCAAACATTTAATTTGTCTTTATTTGACCGAAAGTTTCCCAATTTAGAAACTGTTCTAATTTGTCTTTATCGACTACGATGAGGACCATGCATCTTTATAGACACAAAGATTGATTTTATGACATTTTTCTCTCCGTCTTTTCACGGTCTTATATGTTTTTGGTAAGTTTTTCCCTACAATGTCAAACACAATGTCTGCATCTAGACATTATGTTTGACATTTTGAAGAAAAACTTACCAAAATGATATATCTCATGCCATGTATGCACCGTTAACATTTTAGCATTGAAGATGCTCTAAGAATGTTTTTAGTTGTTTTCGAGACCAAAACAAAAGACATCACATAAGATCATACCAAACTAGACTATATCAAACTTGGATAATTATAAAATACACATAACCAAACATTTATCAAACCATGCTAAAATAGTTCAGATCAAACCAAAGTAGAAAATTTTAGTTCAAGTAAAAACATCCTATTATTTAGACAAAATGTACAAATAAGACTACATGTATTTCATTTCCTTTATAAGACTTATTTGATCTTATTAAAAGTATAAAATCTCCCCTTTTAGGAGAGAATAAGTCTTATATATGCACATTATTTATGTTTTAGTCCTGAAAGAGTATATGGGCCCGGACCCTCGGCCCACATACTCCTGGACATACGAACGGCCCAACACCACAGCAGCACTAGTGGGCCTGACCAGAGAGCCCAGTCCGGAATGAAGAAATGGGTTCTCTGGCTCAATCATCATTTCAGTGTCCACACCTCGGAAGAATATCATCACGAGAATCATCCAGGGATTTCCATTGGCATGAGCGAGGTGCACCCACGCACCTCGGCCCCACCACCGGCATGGGTCGTCTTTGTTTTCTTCGCGGATTAGGTGTCACGCCCGGACCTAGCCGGACACGTCAACAACCCGCCGTACAGTACGAATAGTCAACCGCAGTTCAACTCATCCATACTATACAAGACGTCACGAATATCATTCACACATAGCACATCCATAAACAAACATAATGTAAAACATGCATTTAAAACAGCGGAAGCATTAGTACAATTGTTCAAGCCACACTTGGCATAACTAGGCATACAAGCCCCCAAAGTAATTATTAATAAAATAGTGTCCATGAGCATTTTCTTAATTGTTTTTAAAACAGAACGGAAGAAGCACGAACCACGTCTTCTTCCTTGGATCTTCCCGAAGCAACGGGCGGTGGTAGCAACCTTCAAGTTCTACCTGAAACTGTGAGGTGGTCTCCCCCGTGAAGGGGAGGTCAGTACTTGGAAATATTTGACAAGTACAATAACAACTATACTAAGTATAATTGATGTTTTAATTTCTAAGACCCTCATCTTAGGGTACTATTATATTATAGGCCATAACCCTCGGTTACCCCTTTTTCTTTTAACTGTACTTACTTTATATAAAGTCAAGTAGTCGGCCCGTGGGCCCATATTCATTTAGAATTCATCATTTCCATTCCCCCGTGACCGCAAGTCACGATAACCCCGTGGGGTCCCATCGAACCCCAATTGTATAGCATGAGCTCGGCCCAACTACATTTCTATACAATCCTCTAACTCAATATAACATGTCAAAATTTGTATGGCAAGGGCTCGACCCAACTACGTTTCCATACCAACCATAACTTCGTGGCAAGGGCTCGGCCCAACTACGTTTCCACGGAGATCACATATACATGGCAAGGGCTCGGCCCAACTACGTTTTCATGCTAATCATATTACATGGCATGGGCTCGGCCCAACTACATTTCCATGTCATCGTAGAGTCCAACTCTAATTATTTTCATAATCAAATTCCCAAGCAAATCCTATGCCTAGAATCAATTTTCCGTAGGTGGCCTTTAGGCCTACACCTATCACACCTTAGTGTTCATACAATTCAACCTTAAGTATCTCTTGAGACTACTTAAGGCATACCTATTCACAATCCTACCTCTTGGGATTTGTTTCATCATTTATTTATATAATTTCCCCAACTAGTATTTTGATACTAATTGTATAATCTTAGAACATGCCGAGTTCCTATTTTCCAATTGGCATTTCATTTCAATTGATTTCCCAACCCAAGTATAGTTTGATCTCAATATCAAAAATATCACTTCAATCCATTCATGAATTTCATACATGAAGTAAAGTATATTTTATCACAATGTCATCATAGTAATTCCATTAACATGCCGTTCCATTCATTTCACATGATCATACACAATTATTCTAAATTTGTATATCATGCTTCACTTACTCATATCTATATTATTTTCATTTAGGCATTATTAATCAATAATAATCCATGAAAGTCCCATCTAATTACTTTAGGCAATCTTATGAAATTAACTCACTAATTATAAGCAATATAGTCAGCCATCCTCACATTATGATGTGCTGAAATAGTTGCCTTCGTTGAGCTCCCCGATAAATCCTCGTTTTAAACCGATGAAAGGCAAAAACTGGACTGCCTGGGCAAAAGCCGGGCGGCTTTCACGAAAGCCGGGCGGCTTTCGTGTTCTGCAGAAACGGGCAGCTCCCTTAAAGTGGCGGTTTCCGGCGATTTCGACTCCTATCGATTCACCAACTCTTCTAAGTTAAATATCACCACTTTATATCAATATTCTACACTTTTAAACGTGTAGAACATCATGTTTAATCCACCATATGATTTCTTAAAAATCATACACCATAAAACTAGTTAAAAGAATATTTATTGAGTTCTTACCTCAAACACTATGTTTTTCTTCTTGGATTTCCTCTCCTCTTGCTTCCTTCAAGCTTGAGCTTCTTGAGAGTTATCCCTTGAAGCTCTCCCTCTATGAGTGGTCCGTATGATTGCAAATGGGGTGGGGGTTTCTCTTCACTCCACACAATATAATTGTGTAGGAAGACACATGGGTATGGGTTTGTTGTCTCAATGAGACCTCCCACCTACTGCTCGCCCCTCCCATGTTCCGGTGTCCTCCCAGCTCTAATTTGTCAACTTAGAGCACATAAAAACGTGGGGTGACCCCCACTTATGTGGGAGGTCATCCCATTATGTCCCGGTGTGTACAATCGGTCCCGAAAGTTGTATTTCTCGGACTGTTTTAATTATATTTTATTTTATCGGGCCAAATAAAATATATCACGTGTTCCTAATTAATTATGGGCCTTTAGAATAGATGTACATTCCCCAACATTAATTTAGGAGCCTCCGAAACTCATTTCGGGTTGTTATCCGTTAAATTGCCAATACCGGTAATTGGGCCCCGTTTGACCAACCGGTCGACTCCATGCCTTTCTTATGGCCCAAATAAAATATCCACCACCATATACATATTATCTAGACCAAGATGAATATAATATGTGGTTCGGGAATTATCGGGCGATCCCCGTTCCCGCTGTGGGCCCCACATGCAATTTACTATTCACGTAAAAGAAAAATAAAAATTTACAATTACGCAAATTCATAAATCATCTTTCAAGGTTTATTACATAATTCACTAAAAGTAAATATGTCCGGGGTCGGTGTTACAAGTTCACCCCCCCATAACGGGAATTTCGTCCCCGAAATTCACAATGCTCATTCAAACAAAAACGCGTATTGCTCCTTCATCAAAGCCTCCGTTTCCCAAGTTTCCTCCTCAACTCGGTCACTTTTCCAAAGGATTTTAACCATTGGAACTTTCTTGCTTCTCAATTTCTTGACTTGCCTGTCAAGTATCTTCACCGGTTGCACGGCATAATTCAAGTCTTCCCGTATTTCCACGGGTGGTTTTTCTAATACATGAGATGGATCCGGCATATACTTCTTAAGCATAGACACATGGAATACATTATGTATTTTCTCCAATTCCGGAGTCAATTGTAATCGGTATGCTACGGCCCCAATTCTCTCAAGAATTACAAATGGCCCTATGTAGCGTGGGTTAAGTTTCCCTAGGCTCTGAAATCGGATGATTCCTTTCCAAGGTGAAACTTTCAAAAATACCTCATCCCTAACCTTAAACTCTAAGGCTCTTCGGCGCTTATCGGCGTAGCTCTTCTGTCTATCCTGTGCCTCCTTAAGTCTGTCACGAATCATCTTCACCTTTGACTTGGTGATTTCCACCAGTTCCGTGCTCTCAAGTTTGGCCATGCCAACCTCATCCCAGCACAAAGGTGTACGACATCTCCTCCCATACAATGCCTCGTATGGAGGCATGCCTATACTCGCCTGATAACTGTTGTTATAGGCAAACTCCACAAGTGCCAAATGGTTGTCCCAACTCCCTTGGAACTCCAATGCACAAGCTCTCAGCATATCCTCTAATATCTGTATAACCCGCTCGGATTGCCCATCCGTTTGTGGATGAAAAGTTGTACTGAATTTCAGTTTCGTCCCCATAGATTCTTGGAACTTCGGCCAAAATCGTGATGTGAATCGCGGATCTCTGTCGGATACAATGGTTATAGGAACCCCATGTAGCCTCACGATCTCATCCACATACAACTTGGCTAACCTTTCCAGTGCATAGGTGGTGTTGATAGGTAAAAAGTGTGCACTCTTCGTGAGCCTATCAACCACAACCCATACGGCGTCATAGTTCTTAATCGTCCGTGGCAGCCCTACCACGAAATCCATAGTCACGTGTTTCCATTTCCATTCAGGAATGGATAATGGCTGTAACAACCCAGCTGGATGCTGATGTTCTGCCTTAACTTGCTGACAAGTAAGACACCTACTGATGTACTCGACTATTTCTCTCTTCATACCCGACCACCAATAACTTTCTTTCAAATCACGGTACATCTTCGTGCCTCCCGGATGCATGGCATATGCTGATGAATGGGCCTCCTCTAAGATGGACTTTCGGAGCCCATCATCCAACGGCACACACACTCGGTCACGAAACAATAAGAGACCATCGTCTCTTTCCCTGAAATTCTCAACCGGTCCCGCTAGCATGCGTTCACGGATCTTCATAAGTTCTTCATCAGTTTCTTGACCCTTCTTGATTTCATCAAG